CCTAAGTTTATTATTTTTAACATTTTTTTGTCAGATTTTTTACATAATCACATAAGGTATAAGTGTATTTAAAAAAAATAATATTAATAAACGAAAAATGAATGCAAAAAAAAAAAAAAACGAAAAAACGAAAAAAAATCAAAAAACAAAGATTCTATAGAGCTGTAGAGGACCCGCAGAGCCTTTAATGGATCCGTATAGGGTGCTCTGCGGATCCTTTAGATATTTCATTATTTTTAACATTTTTTTGTTAATTTTTTACATAATAATCACATAAGGTATTAATATATTTAAAAAAATTAAAATGTTAATATTAATAAACGAAAATGAACGAAAAAAAAAGAAAAAACGAAAAAAAAGAAAAAACGAAAAAAAATAAAAAATCCACATTTCGCAGAACTATAGAGGGATCCGCAGAGCTATAGAGAGATCCGCAGAGGGTGCTTTGTGGATCCTTTGGTCATTTTCCGAAATTCTTTTTTTCATGGTTATTTTCTTTAAACCAACAATCTTTTTTGGTTATATTCCGAATTTTCTCTATGGATAAATATGGGTGAACAAAACAAAATTTGGAAACCGAAAAACCGGAAAAAACCAACACAACCGAAACTAAAAAACCGAAACCAAATCCTAATCATCTGTTTTGGGTTAACATTTATTAGAAAGGAGCAAACCCAAATCGATCAAAAATATGTATATATATTCATTACTTGAGATAAAAACATAAATAAAAGCTTGGTCCAATGGTTGAGTGTTTGGTCCTCCAACCTTCATGTCCCTTGTTTGCATCCTATTCCTCTCATATATCTCAGCTTTTATTTTAAACGCACCCCACAATGGAGTTCTTAAACTTCGACATCACCCATATGAGAGTCCTACATTGAAGCTTGGCTCAAACTCAAGCAAATATATTCTATATATATATATATAATGAACTATTTTGTATTGGCTTAGCCCGAGAAAAACCCATAAATCGATTAGTTTGAGTTTAAACCCAAAACCAGACTGGGAAAAACCGAAAACCTAGAAACCAAACCCATTGGTTTTGGCTTGAGTTTAATTTTTTGATACCAAAGTTCATCGGTTTGGGTTCGGTTTTAGATTAAAACCAATCTAAATCGATATATGCTCACCCCTAGTAATAAACAAAACTAACAAAGAACAAAAAAAGCTATTTTGTTTGTATCAAATGAGTTCAAGGTTTATTTAAAAAACTTTATAGTTAAATTGAGAATTTAAAAGAATAAAATCTTCCATGTTTATGTTTTTTTTTATCAAGTTAAATATAAAAAGTTAACTTGCAAAATTTTTAATTGATTACAAAGATGGACATTTTTGTTATTTGATTTGTAAACCCAATAAAACGTAAACCAAACCAAATAAAAATCAAATGCAGATAAAATGAGATTTTAATTTAGGTTTTTAATCAAGTTTGAAATCAAACCGAATTATAAATTCAATTTGCAGTAGGCACTATATGGAGACGTCTGGTTTCCTCTCACGCCTCTACTTAAACCTGACAATGGAATCCGTCCGATTGCAGTAGGCACTATATGGAGACGTCTGGTTTCCAAGGTTGCCATGAAATGTGTGGGTAAAGAAATGGCCAAGTACCTTAATGATTTTCAGTTTGGGGTTGGTGTATCTGGCGGTGCTGAGGCTGTGTTACACAGTGCCAATAGGGTGTTGAGTGAACACCAATACACCATGCTGATGGGTCTCTTGTAATGCTGATTGTGGATTTTTCGAATGCCTTTAACCTGGTGGATCGTTCAACATTGCTCCATGAGGTTAAGAAGATGTGCCCTTCCATTTCTTTGTGGGTGAATTTCTTGTACGGGCAAGCAGCAAGACTTTATATCGGAGACCAACATATGTGGTCTGCCACTGGGGTGCAGCAAGGTGACCCCTTGGGCCCTCTTCTTTTTGCCCTTGTTTTGCACCCGCTTGTGCACAAGATTAGAGATAATTGTAAGCTCCTTTTCCATGCTTGGTACCTAGATGATGGGACTGTCATTGGGGATTCAGAGGAGGTGGCTAGAGTGTTGAACATAATTCGGTTGCATGGTCCAGGTTTGGGTCTCAAGTTGAACATCAAGAAAACGGAGATTTTTTGGCCCTCATGTGATGGTAGGAAGCTTCGGGCTGATTTATTCCCTACGGAGATAGGGAGACCTTCTTTGGGGGTGAAACTCCTGGGGGGGGGGGAGCTGTTAGCAGAGACGCAGGGTTTATTAGCGGGCTGGCCATGAAAAGAGCGGTCAATGTTGTTGATTTGATGGGCCTTCTTCCATAACTATGTGACCCACAGAGTGAGCTCCTTTTGCTTCGATCATGTATGGGTATTGCAAAACTTTTATTTGGTTTAAGAACATGTCAGCCGGTACACATAGAAGAGGCAGTGTTATTCTTTGACAAGGGATTGCGCAGGTCTATCGAGGATATGGTGGTATGTGGAGGCCCCTTCTTTGGAGACATTCATTGGCGCTTGGCTTCCTTACCTATTCGTTTCGGTGGTTTGGGTTTGTACTCGGCCTACGAGGTTTCCTCGTACGCATTTGTAGCCTCGAGGGCCCAATCTTGGCCATTACAAGACCACATCTTACGTGACAGTGGCATATGTGGTATGGAATCGGATTATCTATGTGCTATGACTCGTCTCCGTGATACGATTCCAGGATTTGACTGTAGCGGTTTCACTAATAATGACACCGCCCCCCCTAAATCCCAAAAAGCTTTGGCGTGTGCCCTTTTTAGCAAAATCGTCCATGATATGGAAGTCAACTTCGATATGACTGCCAGACAGCAAGCAGTCTTTGAGTGTCTGCGGGCGCCTCATGCTCAGGATTTTCTGCTGTGGAGTACCGAACTATCCTTGGCCAGCATATGTCTCCTGTGGAGTACCGAACTATCCTTCGTTACCGCCTCATGATTCCCATATTCCCAATTGACGAGATATGCCCAGTTTGTCGCAAGGCATATGTGGATACCTTTGGGGAACACGCGGTTCATTATAGAGAGCTCCCTGGTTTCAAGTATAGACATGATGTGGTTCAAGATGTTCTCTTTGATGCTTGTCGGCGTGCTGGTATATCTGTGAAGAAAGAAGCGCCAATGAACTTTTTGACGGACCCGCAGGATGGCAGGTCCACACTTAAACCAGCTGATATTTTGGTCTTTGGATGGATAGGAGGGAAGCATACGTGCGTGGATCTTACTGGTGTATCTCCTCTCGTTGGTTTGGGGAGCGGAGGTTTCGCAGCTGGGCATGCCGCTTTGAAAGCCGCTGCATGCAAAGTGGTAAAGCATGAAAATACATGTAGAGAAAATCAACATGTGTTTGTTCCTTTTGCATTCGATACATTTGGTTTTCTCGCACCAGAGGCGGTGGAGCTCCTTAACAGAGTCCAACAGATCATGCATTCTCTAATGTCATATCTCCTAGATCCATAAATGTTGTTTTCAAAAGAATTGGCTTTGCCATTCAAAAAGGACTAGCGGCGCAGTTTATTGTCCGTTTGCCTTCAATCGATATGTATTGAATTCAATTTGATTGTTCGTATATTCAATATTTGTTTGATCGAGCTAATTTCTATGCTTGATGAAGTTGAATACTAAACTTGAAGCTCATTTATAATTTGAGTTTTGGTGTAATTGCCAAATTTAAATAAGTAATTAATTAATTAATTAATTAATTAATTACTTTATATTTTAATATTTTAAAAATTAAATTAAAAATTTGAAAACAGATTTTTAATTCAGCCATAATATCGCGACTTCTCCAAGCGGCAAAGCGAAATCCCAAAAGTTCCCTCTCTTCTGTTCTGTTCAAGAAGCCTCTAGGGCACAGCCGATTGACCGCCGGCCACCGCACCTCCGCCCACTCACCCCTCCCTTGGCTGTCGATGCCCCACCCCCCTGCCTGACGTCGGAACTCTGAAGTATGAAATCTAAACTGGCTTACGATTGTGAAATCTGAAGTCTGTTTCTCACTTTATTTCTAGGTAAGTTATATTTTTTGTATTTTATGAATAATCTCTGTATGCTATATTCTCCAATGGCTAATTACATTGATTGCTTAATGCCTTCGTCGATACGGAGTTCTTCCCTATTTATCAATTGTTTATAGAATCCTAACACGAATTGATAGACGATAGGAGTGAAACAGCCATGTACACGTTTTATATCGATACCATTGCAAAATGTTTAATTTTTTTTTTTTCTCGTTATCTATAACAGATTTAATTAGATAGAAAGATTTTATCCATACAACAAACCCAAAAAGAATCAGGCCCTTTATGTTTAACAAATGGTTGTGGTTTCTATAGGTTAATTGTTTTTGCTTCGAGACACATCCAGAGAAAATTTCTACCCACATTGTTGAAATCAAAATAAAACATAATTAACAAAATTCTTAAACTTGGTCTGTTCAAGTTTTCATCTTATCACCTTTGTTTGGAATTAAACATATGTTTCTATGATGGCATTTGGTCATTATGAACATTTTGCTTTTGGTTATAGTTATATTTCAATATAGTTTCATTTCCCCAAATCTGCTAAGAAAGCCTTACAAACGGGACAAAAATTGCATTTTTTATAGATTGGCTCTTGCTGTCTCGCCTGTTTAAAAGACATGAATACCCTCCTTCATCCTCATCATAAGAAAACCAACTCACTAGCCAAGTTGACTTGGTAATAAGATAGGGTGTTAAGAAATTTCTTTCTAATTTTTCTATAAAAGGACTACAGATAACGTGTTTATACATTATGTTGGTTTAGCCAAACTGCTGAATATTTCAGTCTGTTGTTTTTTCATTGCAGTTGATTTCCTTTAGGGCCTAAAACAAAAATGTTATTTTGAGTTAAAATTACCAAATTGTAGTTGTGGTTCCTATCTTTATTTTCAGTGTTAATATATAAATTCTCAAAGATACTTGTTATTGGTTTTTATTTCTTGCAGGAGGTAGTAAAAAAGGCTGCTAGAAACTAGAAAGTTACAAATGGACAAATCAGAAAGAAAAAATGATGCCAAGCCTTTGGAGATAGAAAAACAAACAAACGAGGCTCAACATGAGAAGGGTGATATGGGAATTGAATCTCTAAATGAGAAGGGTAATATGGGAAATAACGATAATTCACAGAAGAAGGATAAGAAGAAGAGGAAAAAAGAATCTACCGAAGATGATCCGGAATCAAGAAAAGACAAGAAAAAGAAACGCAAATCCAAGAAAGTCACATTTTCTGATAAAGTAGACGTTTTTCCAAATTCGGATAAAGATAAAGAGAACACAAACACTAAAACAGACAACTTACTTCGAGGCAAGTGGTTTACTCCAGAAGAAGACAAAATACTAAAAGAATCGGTTTTGGATTACATAAAGTCACACGATCTTGGTGGAGAAGAAGAAGCTTTAAAAAAGATTCTAAATTGTCGATCTCACCCTGAATTAAAAAACTGTTGGAAACAAATCGGGGCCCGCATCCCCTATCGCCCACACTCCGCCATATACTATCGTGCCCATATTCTATTCGAACAAGGTGAAAAAGGCAAATGGACCGAAGAAGAAACCGAATATCTACGAAAATCTTATAAAAAACACAGAAATGATTGGAAAAAGGTGGCCGAAGAACTCGGAAAAAATCGGATTCATGTTAAGGATAAATGGCGAAGAATTAAGTTTGATAACAAAAAGGGAGGGAGATGGAGTCAAGAAGAGTATCAAGGGTTATATGATTTGGTGAATTTGGATTTACAAATGAAAGTGATTTCGGAAGAGAAGAAGTCGAAACATGGGATGTTGAGGGATAATATTCCTTGGACTGCGATTAGTGAGAAGCTATCGACTCGAAATGATTCGACTTGTTGTAAGAAATGGTACTCACAATTGACGTCGTCTCTTGTGGAGGAAGGGAAATGGAGTAATGTTGATGATTATAGGTTGATTAGGGCTCTTTATGATCTTGATGCTTCGTGTGTGGAAGATGTGGAGTGGGATAGGGTTCTTGAGCATAGATCGGGTGATGTTTGTAGAAAAAGATGGGAACAAATGGTTCGTCATATTGGTCATCATGGAAGCAAGCCGTTTTCTGAACAAGTGGAGATTTTGTCACAACGATATTGCCCCGATTTAGAGGAAGTAAGGGAGGAGTGGGACAGTAAACCTCTCGTGTAATGATGTCGCCAAAAATGTATGCAATTTGTTTTCATTGGTGTGGAGTTTTGTTATGTTTGTGTTAAGTGGTTACTATGATGTTTAATAAGGAGATTTATGGAAGTGAGGTATAAAACTTATTTTTTGTTAGAAGTTTTGGAGGGTTAAGGTTATGTCTGTTAAAACTTGATAAAACTAACCGGAAGCTTCAAGTTGAAAATTGTGACTGTTAATTGTGTAAAAGTGTTTGGCAAAAGTAGTTGTAAAAATTGTGACTGTTAATTGTGTAAAAGTGTTTGGCAAAAGTAGTTGTAAGTTTTTTTATACATTGTTAGATGTCTTAGTAACAACTTAGTTGAATGTGTTTACCTTACATGGATGAATATTTGTATAGAAGCCAACACATCTATCTAATTTAATTTAAAAGATAAATAGCAAGAAATAGCAAAATATTCTCATCTTTTTAGTAAATCTTATTTTTAGAACAATAATAACCTATTTATGTTTCTTTACTTGTAGTAGTGCATATCTAATGTTCGGATTGATAGTAGCAACAAGTTACTTCATAAATGGTCTTTATGATTTTATAAATCTAAAGTTTCGTTCATAATTTAAAAAAATCTCATAGATGGTCCTTGTGGTTTCCAAACTTTTAAAATAATGTTTTTATTGCTAACTATGTCTGTCTGTTAGGTGGATGACATTTTCATTATTTTACTATTACAGGGACCATTTATGAGTTTTTTGTTATTTAAAAAAAAAAACATAAAAAAGAAAAAATAATTATTTTAAGAGTAAATTACACTAATGGTCTCTATGGTTTGGAGTAATTTGCGCGCTTGTCCCTAACTTATTTTTTTAACTCGAAAGGTCTCTACTGTTTGTTTTTGTTACGTACTTGGTCCCTATTGTTTGTTTTTGTTATGCACTTGGTCCCTGTCTGTGACAACCTGGAAATTTTCGCTTTAAAAACCAGTCCAATCAACCAAAAGTCAGACTCACTTCTGCTATCGTTTAGCACAGTTTAGAGTCTGTTTGAGTGTTCTGAGCCCAATACATTCAAGGAATGAGTGTTAGGAAGTATATGCTAGAGCTACTGTACAAAGATCAAGCCATAAACTCATTCAAGAGGAGTTTACGGCCAAGACATCAAGAGTTTACGGCCGTAAACTCAAGGTGGCCGTAAACTCACCCCTATATAAGTAACACTTAGCCATTTCTTCATTCCTTTCCTTTCTTTGGCCGAAATCTCTTCAACTCTCTCAAGTATAATCGAGTTCTTTAACTAGATATCATATATGTGGGTGTTGTAACCTTTGATTAGTTATTATCCTTCATTATATAGTATCATTCCATGATTTCATCCATGAAATCATTCCATTTTGTTAGATCACCAAGAATACCAAGAACACACACTAGTTCTTTGGCCCGAAATCAACCCTAGTAGCTTCCATATCGTAAGTATCCTTTCAATATACTTCATATCTATTAGAGAGCCTTGATTTACACCCTTGAAACATGCATTTCACCAAGAACATCAAGAGTTTACGGCCCAAGACTCTTCATGGCCGTAAACTCCATATTGTTGCATTTATTGACGTTAAACTCTTCTTAAGTCCAAGCCTTTGACCTTGAACACTTAATGGATGTTGTAGGACCTTAAACCACACACTTATGCATGTTTGACCATGAGTTTACGTTCGTAAACTCCCTTGGCCGTAAACCCATGGCCGTAAACACTTATTAGTGACCAATCACTTCCTTTTGATCAATCACATGTGATTCAACATTTCATTTCCAGTGTTTCCTAGTCCCAAAGAGTATTTCCTTACATGTTAGCTACTTATAAACCCTATATTCATGCCAATACATGCCATATATGTCATTTAGGACTCATTTGTGTATCGAGACTTCATTCGTGGAACTTCTCATCGTTACGCGCATATTCGTTTGAATCACCCACATCAGGTGAGTTCATACCCCCATATAATGAGTATTTTTAACTGTTTTAAATGCTTTTAGGGGGGGGGGGGGGGGAATACAAGTTGAACACAATGATAATTGTGTAAATGTTTGTTATAAACATCTTTCAAAGGATTGCTTATGTTTTATAAGTGATCAAAACATTTCAAAAAACTCTTTTTAAGTTATGCTGCTTTATAATTTATAAAACTCTGTTTTTAAAGTACAATCATAACTTAGTGGATAAATGAGTCTTTTCAATAACAGTTCAAGTAAACATACTAGTAAACTATAATATGTATAGTTTAGGAGTTCAGAACATACTAAGATACTATAACAGAAAGAACGTACTAAGATACTATAACAAAAAGAACATACTAAGATACTGTAACAAAAAGAACATACTAAGATGCTATAGCATAAGAACACTCCAGGATTTAACTATACCAATAATCAATAACTCATTGTTCTAAACAAAAGGTAATAGTAAATTGGGTATACATGATCATATAACTTTAATGTGAATTTACACGGCCTAGCAATTTGTTTGTTGAAGTCACGTTTGGTCCCCCGAATCTCTTGCAGGGAGAGCGTATAGTATGGGTACTATCCATCACATTATGACCTTAATAAAACATACATGTTTTAAGGTAATCAATACGTCAGTATGTCAATTCAAAAGACAACTGGGTACTTACATTTTCCCATTACTTTCATATTGTGACAGTTCCACTTGAAAGTTAATGCAAGCTATTTTCGAGTTAAGATAGTTATAAACTGGGGAAAACTTACATTTTACAAACGAAATACATTCAATAGAAAAAGGGCCTATAATGCTAATTTTATGATTCCTTAGTTTATACATTAGGGATATATATGAATCGGGTCCAGCAGATAGTAGGAAGTGTGCTTTCCGCTTCATTTCCCGTTCCTTGTTTGGTTGTGAGCTTAGAGTAGATGCACCCAGTCTACTATCCATCCAACCTTAGTTATATATATATATATATATATATATATATATATATATATATATATATATATATATATATATATATATTCTATATACACTAAGTAATCATAAGGAGTACCAGGTATAGGTCAGGTCATAGTATACAAAGTTAATACATTGTTTTCTAGTACAAAGCATACTTTTCAAGTTGAACATTTGGTAGCAAAACTAGAAACTTACCAGTAAAAGGGTTTAATCCATTTTATTAAACCAGTATAAACTTAAAGGACCTTAGGTGGTTAACTTAATAATACCTTAGTTTATACATCAGGGTTATATATAATTAATACCCGATATGTAGTTGGATGTGTGCCTTCCACCTCATTTCCTGTTCCTTGTTTGGTTGTGGGCTTAGGGTAGATTCACACAATTAACTATCTATTCGGTATTAGATTATATATAGCTAGTATAAACTAAGCGATTATAGAAGGAACCACCGTGGTTACCATTTTCACTAAAAGAATAAGGGTTTTCTTAAAGAATCTTTTCATCAAATATAAAGGAACTATTACAATTAACTCCGTGAGTACCAAGTGAATACGCCAAGCTTATATACAATGATGATCTAACAAACAATGGGAGGTGTGGCTTCCGCCTCATTCCCTGTTCCTTGTTTGGTTGTGGGCTTAGGGCAGATACACACAATCGATTGTTTGTTTACTCTGGGTTTTATATAACATGTATCCATTTAGTACTCATAGAAAGGATTGTAGAGTCATTTTCACTTATCTTTCATCAAAGCAGGAAATATAGGATTTTCTGGAGGAACAGGCTAACTTTTCTAAAAAGGATTTACAACTTACTTAACATCACAAAAATCTTATGAACTCACCAGCTTAAATGTTGATCAACTCTTTCAAAATAACTTGTATTCTCAGGAAACTAGTAGACAGGTACGCGCATTGGGATTCAGAAGATGGAGCAGTATAGCTTCATGTCTTGTTTTGTTATTTACATTGTAGTCTATGTTTTGTAAACACTTTCTTTCTAATGAAATGGTTGTTTATTACTTTGATTACTATGATCCATGTCCTGTGATACTAAACATGACGTCCTCCATCCCCGAATGTTTCCGCCATTCCGGTTATGGGGTGTGACACTATCTTACCTAAAAAGACTATTTTCCCCTCGATTTTAACTCCAAATGGTCCTAAAACTCTCTTCTCCTAAAGCCCTAAGCCTTATGATACTTGATCTTTGGGTCCCAGCCCTGAATTGTGAAAAGACTCGAAATAGGGTGTTACAACTTTCCCTCACTAAAATTCGATTTCTTCCTCGAAATCATTCCTTACTATCTCCTCTGCTGAACCAAACGATCTTGATTGAAATCCATGAATTACGAAGATGATTGGAAAATACACCTCACTCCGATAACCATCTACCCTTACTACCGCGAACCAATAGCAGAAATCACAAGCCCTAATGACGAATGAACCCCAACTTTGCTCTAAGCCCACAAGTGTCCAACCGACATGCCTGAAACTGAAACCCTGATCGATTTCTGACATCCAGGAAGGCAAAACCACTCCAAACCATTTCCACAATGAATCAAATTCATATCCTGAACTGTATAAACCTATCTGTCCTGAACAAATTTACGTATACCCAAAACATATATGCCCCGACCACTTACCGATACCGAAAATCCTCATCGAAAACAAAACCAGCGCTAGGCTCAAAAACTCAACTAACTAATGCTCGAACGATCACAAGTCCACTTAACCCCGAAGATGGCTACAAACCAAACCGAGTCCTCACATTATATTGGCCCCAACCCAACCTATGATTTCCCAAGAATTATAATTGTTGAGTCCCACTTACAACCCTTCACCAAAATCTTTGATGATCTAAATAGGGAATACCACAAGCCAAATCATAAACTTCCATCCCTGTTACCATCGCCTACCAACCTAGTGAATGCTACGGCTGCTCTGCAATCTCATAACACTTCAACAACTGCATCCTATCCTAGTGAATGTTACGGCTGCTTCGAAGTCTTACATCACTCCAACAACTGCACGCTAACCTAGTGAATGCTATGGATGCCGCA